ATGATAAACAAAATGTGTTATCTCTTATCTCAGTCTATTGTTGAAATATATAACAGTGTCAGTTTTAGTCATAGTCAACTGAGGCTTCTGGCTGGAGTGTCAGACATGCACAAACATGTGTATACTTATCAATTCTTTATCTTGTTCCAGCACTCAGAATCTAGTACTAGTTATGATCATGTATTATGATATCGTATGATATTTATTGAACAAGGTAAGTACAATAAATATCACGTGATAGAGACATCATTACACTATACAAACTTCTAGGATCTAGACTACTATAAAAGTCCATCTTACACAATCTTAAACTACCAATAATATACATAGAAGCAATGATTTCAGATTGTTTAGATAAAGCATGGACTCTTGAGATTTCTCTTATGTTTAGAATGTTTGAAAAAAAAGGATTTATTAAGTTTAAAAATTTTCCAGACTTATTTTTAAGTCAGGTTTTTCCATTTAACATAAAAATTTAAGTTTCTTCTGCATTTTTTATCATATTGAATGTAAATCTTTGCAAGTTTTGATTACTACAATGCAATTTTCTTCTTTTTCTTTAAGAAAATCTAGCTGTTGAAAAATAATACAATCAGATTTTTAAAGGAGGTCATTCTATGTGAAATCTTTTGCAATTAGGAAGTGAACCAATAATAATTTTTATCAATTTAAAAAAATAAAGAATAATAAAAGCCAATTTATTTATTTTATACTTTTATCATTGCAAAGCAGTATCTGGAATTTAAATTAACATCTGACAGTTAATTTAAAAAAAAAATTAAGATTCAGTCCCCAATGAATAAAAATCATTTATTGCATTTTAGGAAATAATTTATGCACTTATGCTAATCATTCCACTATTGAATAATTGTATACAAATTTTTTAATTGTTTGTTATTTTTCATGTGTGATCTCACTATGGGGAAAATACCATCAAAAAATCAAAATTGCAGCATAAAAATGTAATTTAATGTAAATTTAATGAAAAACAAATGTTTTTGATTGTTTTAAGCAGTCGTCTCCAGGATACAGAAAGAGTTCAAAAAATAATACAAGTTTTAAAAAAATTTTTAAATGAATTTAAGTCTAATTATATTGGGCTCACCAGTTGCTAGGTTGATAAAACCACTGAACACTGGTAGTTGGTCAAGGGTTCATGTCTTGTCAACAGGCTAGCCATGTGGAGTTTTCCAGATTTTCTTCATGTTATTAACACCTAAATAGAGACCAATTTCCCATAGAAAGTTCTCTCAGGAGGCATCTCCTCAGCAGACTTCCCAAGTATTGCATTACTTTATACAAATAAACCTAACTATATTGCTTTATACAAATACACCTAACTATATTATTGATATTGTTTTTATGTAATTTGATAAAAGATTAATTTTAAGAAAGTTATTATTTTTTAACTTTCCATAAATAGTGTTAAATTTTATGCATCAATACACTTTTTGTGACTTTCAAAAACAATGTGCATCACATTTCTTCTTGGTTACAAACAAACAATGGATAATTTTATTCTCTTGTTATTTGAACTTTAACTTTTTATAATTAATTCAGATATATCATCTTTCAGTTGTGTTAATTATGTTGTGTGTGTTATTTTTTGTTAATTTGTAATTGCTTTTCATTGGAATCTATTTTCAAAATATTTATATACAATACATATGCATGTACTATATATATATATATATATATATTAGTNTAAAATTGTTTGCCCATATTCATAGTTGCCCGCAGACTATATTTTACCAAAAAAGTAGCCCCTAAGGGATAAAAGTTTGGCCACACCTGATATACAGTATATGTAACAGTTTGCTTTGTCAGTGTGAAATTCATGTTACAACTAGCTTTTTAAACAGTCAGACCAACTATATAAATAATTTATATGCTTATGATAAAACATAAACTACAAACTGAAATTACTTACTGTGACCTTATCACAATGCTAAGCTGCTGTTTTTAATCATGTTTTAATTTAAAAAATCATGTGACTTCTGACCTGGATCAAAAGTTTGTACAGTGAAACCTGTTAATGTTACCACCAGTGTCAAGTAGTCACATTAGCAGGTTTCACTATATATAGTTAATTGGAGTCTCTTGCCCCCAAGTGTTTCCCATCTGGTCTTGATTTTTATCTATCTAACTTTGTTTTTGAGATTAAGGAATAAAAGACAGATGGCAACAGTGGGAATCTATAGGTCTGCAATTTGAAAATTGCAGTCCAATTATACAGCATAATAATATATATTATTTTAATCAGTGGATAAATAAGATATTTTATATTAAAGTGATGATAATAAGCATTATTATTATTATCGATATCACTACTATTAATTTTGATGCCACTTATCTATTCTAATATAAGCTTCTCTGTTATTAAAATAACTAAAATAATTGAAAGCAATAAATAAAATTTCAGGGAGCTGTTTATTATTCCAGATTTTTTAGACAAAATTTTTTAAACAATAAAATAACACATTTTGTTTAATAGATATTTTGCTACTACTATAGGAATTTAAAACAATTCTTTGTTAAATGTTTTCATTAACTTCATGTTTTTCTGTAATATGCAGTAATTCTGTTTTAATTAGTTAATAAAAGTATTACAGACTGTATATTTTAAATCTATGAATTTAATCATTTCTAAGATATTTTTGTATATATTATTAAAAGTTTTCTATACTCTAAATTGCAAGTGTGGTTTGAATATGATTTCTTAAACAATTTTATTAAGAATATAATGAAAACTAAAAAGTTTATTATGAAACATTGTCACAGATATATATTATACTCATAGTTAGGTATTCATATGTTATGTAAATACTAATGTAATCTCTAAGGAACATGAAGCAATAATAATTATTTTTGTGATGTTATTGAACTTTAAAGAAATATAATATTGTTGTATTAGTTCAGAATAAATAGTCCAAAAATTTGTAAAATTATATTAATTTTTATTTCTTTTTTAAAATATACTGCTAGAAATGGAAATCCCAACACCAAGGAAGAGTTATACTAAGTAAATGAAAATTGTACATAAAATTTACATTACTTATTATGACTTATTACATTGAGTTTTGAGAGTGCAACTCAACATGTGCATGGAACACCACAACATGAAAGTTGAATAAGTACATAGTAACCTGTAAAATCCAGCAAAAGCTCACTTTACTAAAATAAAATTTCATTTGAGCAAAGTGAGCTTTTGCTGGATTTTAGTCACTACTGTATGGTTATTGTGTATTTTATTCACTTCTAAGTGATAGAGATTGAAGGTTGAATGTTCATTTCTGTACTCGCTGTAGTCATTGCATAGTGAATGCATTTGATTGTAAAGGTGTTGAATGTCATTCTGTTGAATGGTGTTACATGCCTTCTACACTTGTACAGTCAGATTGTCAATGGTTGTTCCTGGTTGTGGATGAGCACAGAACCATTGTCCAGTTATGTTCCTTACATGCTTTATTGATGAAAGATCTGGCAATCTTGCTGGTCAGGATAACACATTGACATCGCAAAGCATATTGGGTTATAGCTGTGGTTTGTGGGTCTGTTGAAACAGATCCACTTCAATACAGTTCATGAATTGAAAGCAGAACAATGGGCTCATTCACCATTCTGATGTAAAAGTTTGCCATCATGGTATTTGGATAACTATTAGGAGAATTCTGTTATCATAAGAAATCTCTCCCTAAACTATAATGCCTGAGTTTAGACCATTATGTTGATGATTGATATTGCTTGCCAACAGATGTACAGTAGAGCGTTGATTATCCGAATCAATTGGGGACTGGGGTTGTTCGGAAAATCGATATTTCGGATAACTGATTATGTACGAAAAAATATATTAACCTATCCCGTGTTGAAATTTTTCTCTGTTGCATGTTGCTTTGCGTTGAATTTTCGTCAATGTTAAGCCTAATGAAGACTATTGTATCAAAATAAATACAACCTCACCATAAACTGGAACTATAATATTCACAAATCACACCTAAATTCAAAATTTTTTACTTTTATTTGCTGGAAATTTTGAATTTAGGTGTGATTTGCGACTATTATATCGTTAAGAATTATTTTTTTATTTTGTACAAAGAAAATAAAATATATTGAAAAATATAAAAACAATAAAAAATTATACTTCAGAAGTTAATTTAGTATCAAAAACGTGAAATATTTGAGTAGCCCAAGACATAGCCAAAGATTGCAGCGCCACAGCACTGGCGAAAATTTAAATTTGCCAACTGGAATTCTTTCAGGTAATCGACGCTCTACTGTACATGGATCAAGAGGAGGCTAGAGAACATCCATCACTGGTATTGAGGGCAGAAATGGTTCTCATCTGTAAATACACAGAATTCTACTGTCCTCCAATGGACTCCTGGGTGACACCATTGAAGATGTATCTCACAATGGGCAGGAATGAGTTGATATACATTACATGACAACCTGAATTGGAGGTCATTTTACAATAGATTATTTTGAACAGTTGTTGTGACACCAGGTGCCATTGCTGTTCAGACTTCCACCACAGATTCTCTGATTCATTGGGGACATTCTGTGTATGTGTCAATCTTCTTTTGAGAGACCAGATCCACATTTTCTAGTGCATGGTAACCTATTCTTTTCATGGTCTCACAAAATAAAAATTATCTTCTCAAAAGCCTTGTTTATTGTTTAAACTGAGTTAATTGCTGATATGCAGTTTATTGTTGCCCTTGAGGCATTCTGTATATTGTAGCTAATGTCACCACAGCTTTTCAGTGACACTAATGCTTCTAAACAACCCAACATGAGTCTCATGGAAACTTCTAATTTGCATTCACTGTTGCACTCTTGCATCTTCTGAGTTGTGACCTTGAAATTGGTATCAATGTAAGAGAGTAAATATTCTATGTAATTTTTGTTCATTTAGTACAATTTCTCCTTAGTGTTGGGAGTTTGATTTTTAGCAATATAAATTTATACTAAACATAATTTTTTTCTATTTTTTGTTTTAGTAATAGCAGAAAGAGAAGACAGACAAAACTCACTTCTTTTAAAAATCATAAGAAAGTATTTAAACATAAGAAAATGGAACAACATAATATTGAAACGAATGGTTGTGAAGATGGACCGACTTCACTAGTTGTTTCAAATCATTCTGATTCTACCCAGGTAAAATTTTTTAAATATATTAAATATTAAATTTGTGATATAAAACTGTTGATTAAATTTTAGAGTAGATTTTTGTAAATATGATTAGATATTCTTGAACAGTTTTATTATTATTACTTTTTCATTTTGGAAGCATGGGCTGATTCTAAATTATTCATATTTATTTATTTATTGTCAGAGCTTCCAACTGAAAACAACAAAATAAAACTACTAGCAGAATAAAGTATAACTTAAAAAGTTCTATTACATATATAATCAGTACTACAGAGTGCTAAATGAACTTCAACATGCATGCCTTTCATAGCATGTACAATTTCTTAGTGATGATCAGTTTTTCTTCTTGTGTTCTCTAGCATTTGTAACTCTCTATTGAAGCAATAATTTTGAGCTTAAGTTTATTGAAGAAAGTTACAGGGATCTTGTAAACAGTATCTTTTGTGTATTCTGCAAGAAGAAATTAAGTGACGTGATATTGGATAAGCATGAAAACTGCCGAATCCAGTCACCAAACCCAATCCAGTACCCAGAAAAATGTATGTTAAGAAATTCTCTGACTGTAAGAACTGAATGTGGCATTATACAGTACCATCTTTCTGGAATACCATATTTGGCTGATGATCTTCCAACTGATCTTCCATTTTCTATAAAGATGAAGGGCCTTGAAACTTCTAAACATGATAAAGCAGTTTTTGTGTGCCAGTTACTTAAATGATATGAGGATTTTCTTTTTAGCATATTCTACAGTTGTGGCAATTTATTTTTCCTAATGTGTAAAATGTTCTGCCTATCTATATTTGGTTTATAGTGTCTGACATCTTCTGATCTCCAGGAACCCTCTCCATCTCTCTCTATCCATACACCATTCCTGTTTAATTCCTTTTTCACTACATGCTAACTTTACTTCGTCGTACCAAGTTTAAATAATAACATCTCAAAGCCCTAGTAGTATACAATAAATCACCAAATGATCACCTAAATATCGGGCTATAATAAGGCTAATTAAATGATTGTTAATTTACTTAAGAGATGGTGCCTAACGCCTACCTCTAGTGTCAAATTACTTTATACCAATCATTTAATTAGCCTTATTATAGCCCAATATTTAGGCGATTGTTTGGTGATTTATCGTACCAAGTTTGTCTGGGTCTTCTTCTCTTTCTCCTTTTTTGTGGATTGTATTCCATTGACATTTTCAGGAGTCTTGTCACTCATTCTTTTCACATGTCCAAACCAAATAAATTATTTCCTCTTTATTTCTTCCAAAACGTCTTCTTCAATCCCATTAGGTCTTTGATTCTCTCATTAGTTATTCTTTCTCTTTTTGAGATTCTGCACAATGCATCCATTTCAACCATTGTTACTTTTTTCTTGTTTTTTCCCAGTCATTCTCCATGCCTTTGCCCTGTATAACAGAATGCTTTTAACCAGGGTTGGCATGATTTTAAAAAAATGTTTTAAAAAACATTTATTAGAACATGTTTTAAAACATAGTCATCAGATTTAAAACATGGTTTTTTTGGAAATAGTAATTGATCTAGTAAAATAGAAAAAGAAAAAAACAAAACAAGACTCAAGAATGTACGGAATGTTTTATTTAATATAAAATATAGCATTTTTAAATGTTTCTTTATGCAATGGCATTTTTAAGATTTGCATGTACAAACACCAAAACAGGATTGACAGCAGTAGCTTCTGCAGCTTGAAGAATTTCTTATTTTCAGAAATGTATAGTACAATGCTTGGTAGTGTTTGTTTTAGTGCTTGAAAACTTTAACAAGCTTTACTGCCTTTTCCTGTCCAAATCAATTTCTAAGTTTTGAATGAACAAGTCCATAGGTAGAGAAAATTCTCTCAATTCCTGCTGAAGAAGCCACTGCTGTGTGCAGCTGTGTAACTAATTTTAAAACAGGTTTATCAATTCTGTCACGTAGTGACTGCCACCATGTAAGATGAGTGATATTAGTTAACACAGACTCTGCAAACATGTGTTGCAGAAATGGGCTAGTTTTTGCCAAGTATTTTAAAACTGAAGTCATAGCATCTGGATAGTAAGCATGGCATAGAGTAAGTGCAGCATCTTTCATACTGTCTGTGAGCTTTGCACTCTGGTATCTTGGTCCAGAAGATTTGCTAAAAGGTGATAGTCTGTGATAGCTATATTAAATCTGTCTTTGGCTGTTTGCATGACTCCAGTGATCCCAAGTTGTTGCAAGTCATTTTGAACACTATAAAAGTAGTAATATCATTAGATGTAAAAAACATGCTTTTGTAGAAAAACTATACGAAAAATTTAAAATAACTAAAAAATGCTTTTACTGTATTTGATAAATATAGCTGCAGAGATTGTTATTCTTTCATTTGACAGGCGTGAAAATTTACACATACGGTCTATATTGTTTACAAACCAGTTGACATTGAGAACTGCTTTCCCAGGACATTTACATGGTAAGAATGGTAAAAGTTTAGAACAATTTAATTACTTTGATTAAAAAAACTCTCATAAAAAACAACAAGGCAATTAATATGCTAATTAATAAAATGTTATAAAAAACTCTCGTTGCAAAAGTAAATAATAAAATTTTCATAGATCATAGATAAGAATATATATGTATTAGCCCATACATTTTTGGAAAAGGATCGTTTTTTCGTAATGCTATGGAGATAACTCAGGGGAAGAACTAAAGAATATCTATATAGATACAAATTGAGTTATGACCCAGGTAAAACTTTATAGCAAGCTATAGAAAATTTTAAAACTTATAATGGTTCAAAATACCCAGCTGTTGCAATTCCTGTAAATCATCTTGTAGGTGGTTATTTTCAATATGTTTTTTCATACTAGCGACTAATCCAACCATTTCTTTCCTACATATTTTTTATTGCATCTTGCATGCCGGTTTTCCTGGATTTCCAGAAATTAGTTTGTACTGGTTCCAGATATTATCAAGCCTTCTTCCTGCACTCATTTTTACTTAACAAGTAACAATGATGATAATGTCTTTTTCCATCCAAGTAATTTTACAATACATTAGCTGTATTGCTAACAGTATTAACTGGTATGTGCTGTCAGGAAATCTCCTCTTAGTGATAAAAGTCTCGTGTCACGTGCTTTCATGGCCCATGAGATTGATAAAAATTTCTCATTCCCACACTCACGTTCAGCTCACAAGTCAGAAAAAGTTTATTTGCTAAATTTATGTAATATAACATTATTTTTTTTAATTTAAAACATTGTTTTAAAACATTATTTTATAATGTAATATAAAACTGTTTTAAAATAAAAAAAAACAAAGGTTTCTAAATGAAACGTGTATTATTGTTTTATTTAAAAAAAAACAAATTTTCCAATCCTGCTTTTAACAATAGCATTATATATTCTTTTTTTTTTCTTTTCTTGATCTACCACTCCACCATATTCCATTTAATCTTTTAACTGCTCTCTTACCTTGTACTAATCTTGTATTAATTTCTAATGTATCTCTTCCATCTTGATGAATTTTAATTCCAAGATAATTGTAATGTTCACATCCCTTAATTTTTTTCCTTCTTCCAGTTCCATGTGTTTTAGCCCCTTTTATGTATAAATATTTTGTTTTACTCATGTTTATGTATAAACCTCCTTTAAAATATTCCTCTCATTTTTCATGTCGTATTCTAGATCATCCTTATCCTCTGCCATTATAATGTGTAAAAAAAACTAAATCTCCATCTCTGAATATAAGAAACTTGTCTAGTTGATTTTTGTGGGCTTTGAGAAAACACATTCTGGATTCAATCAATATCTTTCTGTGAATTGCTTAATTTTTCTGCTCCTTTTTTGGCTATGAAACTACTGGTCTCTTGGAATTGCTTTAACCAATGTCAGATAGTGTTATCTGAAGATGGACCTACACTATACTGAGTTCTGTAACAATATTGTATTGGTATAACAGACTTTCTTTTGAACAGTCACTTTTTGAAGTAAGACACCATATCATCGTCCAGACATAATGTGTGACAAATACAGTGTTATGAAATAAAACTTTTTTGAGTTACACTTTTCATATATTGTATGTATTTATGCATATTCTGTAGATTTGTTGTTTTTCGTTGGAAATTTATAGGACACAGGAATCTCAACAATAGTTTATAATCATCCTGTGTATGAAACATCAATAAGCATAGTCATTAATATTCTATCATAGAAAATTTCCAAAATATGGAAATGCATTTTGAGTTAATTCATTGAAAGTAAAGTTAACTTAAAACATTTTCCTATTATTTATAAGACTAAGATTGGCACTAAATCATGAGAAAAAACTACTTGTTTTTGTCCTGTGATTTATTATTGTTATAATGCCAATTTATTATTATATCAGTTAAACCACAAAATTTTATTATGAAATGTGTTCAGCCTTACTTCAAGCCATTTTCAGACCAAAAATGTTTATTATTAAATAGTTCTTTGGTTTCCAAATTTCCAAACCAAGCAGTTTTATTTATTTTTTTGAGTTAATTCTTGTTTCTGTATACATCTTAATAAAAGAAAAAAATATTATTTTGTAAATTGTGATGTTAAAGAAGATATATTATCAATCTAATGTTAATTTTAATTTTGTTTAAAATAGTTTTATCAAAAATGTCTTATGAACATATTCAAATTAATATTTAATTATATTTGATAATCATAAAAGTTTTAAAATTCATTTGTGAATGAAGTCCCTTTTAAAAGGCAAAAGTGTTTTCTTATGAAATTTAGTTTTTTTTTTATTATATTGTCTACTTGTGAATAAAAGTTAAGAATGTAATCTGGAAATAACTTGTGCTTATAATAATCTAAATTTTGTTGTTCTGTTTAAGAAAATCCAATGTTCATCATGTCTTAACCACTCAACAGTGAGGGACGAATATATCCATCCAGGATGATCATTTGGCAGTGGTGAGGGATGGATATATCCGTTAAAATCTTTTGGGGTATTGCCAAAAACTACTGCAAGAAAAATTCACACAAAAAATGAATT